TAAAATTGGGAAGAAGTAGTAACTACTTCATCAGCTATGGTTAGGATTAAATGGAAAAATCAATGCAAGGCACTTGCAACAGAGTGGCTCACAGGTGGTAAACAAAGATAAGATGATGATGAGGCAAGAGGTTAGGAAATATGCATTTAGGAAGTGGTAGTAGGAATGGTGAAGAAGCAGCTGGTCTTCAACAAAACTTGGGGAACAAGGGACAGTATCCAAGAAAACCTTAATGCGGTTGAGCCAGGGTGACTGCAAGTTTGCTGGTGTCATCAATAAAGTCAGAAGTCTAAAGACAAAGAGCGTGTCTGGTCAACAAAAATGCCATTTGCGGAGTTGATGGGCATTCTGTTGGGTTGTAGCATAGGTGACTGGAAACAAGACAGAGGACTTGGCTAACAAGAGTCGTGGACTGTGCATACATTCAGTAACCACTAAGCGAGCCTTTGACGGATAATGGAGAACACCACAGCTGGGAGAGGTGAGAGAATGTTGGAGCCAAAGTGGAAAAGGGATTTCTTGCAGTGGGTGGCAGCCTGAGAATGCAGGGTTAAAGAAGCCAAAAGAAAGGATATTTTAAGGAGCTTATCTGGTAAGCAGGGAGAGAAAGAAAGCAAGAACAAGAACAGTCATAATTAGGGGAGTGAGAAGTCCTTGGAGGATGTAAGCTAAGCAGAAGTGGGAAGAGGCTAAATGAGTGAATGACTAGGAAATAGAGACTGAAGGTAATTCAAAAAAACTCCAAGAGTTTGTTGAAGGCAAGATGGGGACAGGGGACTGGACAAGCGATATTCCTTTGAAGACGGGATTTATGAAGGGAGACGATTCTGTGTCCAGGAAGCAAGAGATTTCAGATAAGAAAAAAAAGCCTGGGGCAATTTAGGGCTGGAATGTCTCCAGGAAAGCAATCCAGAGGCTCTCCCCTATGGTTAAGAACAGGTAAGGATGAAGAACCACTTGGAAGGTTGATGACATTCACACTGTTCAACCGTTGAGGGCCTCTTTTTCAAATGACTTGGAAATCCCCTCTCCATGGAAGCCTAGGCCAGGATGACAGACTCCAATCCCATCCCTGGATCCAATCACACATGACCCAACATCTCTGAGTACAACCAAGAAAGCTCTCCTTGTCATTCCAAACACTGAGCAGCAAATGCTACCCGATCTACTCCAAACTGTGTCTCAGAAGAGATGGAGCTGTTCTCCTAGTGGATGTGACTGAAGAGCATAGGCACACATTCTAGATTGTGGGATTAACGTTTATTCACCCTAAACTATTTTTTTTTAATTCATATACATGTGGATCTAATACATCTGGTTGCTATGGATAGAAATCTTGATGGAAATCTCCCTAGCCTTCCAAGAGAAGTCTCCATCTCAAACTGCAGAAAGTTGAACTTGCTAGACGGCTTGTTTCATACCCTCTTGTCCCTTTCTTCCTTTTTCCTAAAATGCTCTGCCCAGTGGTGGGTATAGAAAGTTCATTCAAAAAACCAAAAAAAAGTTTTTTAATTTCATTGAAAAAAATTAGTATAATTTCTTCCTAGAGGGGCAGTTTCGGTTTGCAAGTAAAACAGAAAGGGGATCCTTCACACATTCACATACACACCTCCTCCCTCTGCCAACATCTCGGTTCCAAAAACTCTAAAATGCACGTCTAACCTCCACCTCACAGATGTAAGTCTTCTGAGGTCCTACCCAGTGAAAATTATTGTGGGGGTAGAAGTCCTTTACAGGAATTCTCTGTGGTTCTTTAAGATCGCCCTTCCATCAGTCACTGGAAAAGAGCTCTTACTGAGCGGAAGACCTTGCACAGGGACCTCTTCACACATCCACTTTCTCCTCCCCTCTCTCTACTTTCACCAGTCTTCTACACTGACCAGCCCTTATAAATCCTCCTGCCCATACAGACATGCTCTTTCTACAGGCTTCATGTGAGCCGGCATTTACCTTCCATGGGTAAAAAACACTTTACAGAAACTGCCTGTTCACCAGTTGGCACTGCCTGCTAGAATGTTTGTTTACGAGGAAAACACTACTGTATTTTATCTGCCTCTATATTTAACACATACCTGGCAGAGTGGGTAGCTGCTAAATTTTTCATGAATACAAGGCTAATAGCACAAATAAATGGGTACTTTTCTGAGTCTACCGCATTTCTGAATTTCATCAAATATCTGAACCTATGGGCAAAAGCTTGCAGGCTTGAGGTAGGGGAGAATTGGGCCTCTCTTCACACTGAACCTTCATGATTTGAATTGAAGGGAAGACGTATGAACACTCGGGGGAGTGGTGGGCATAGCAGCTACCTAAATGCCAAGCCACAGTGCCTGGATTTGAACCCCCAGCTCTGCTCCCAACTCTAGCTTCCTGCAAAACGCACACCCTGGGAAGCAGCAGGTATCATTTAAGTACTGTGGTTCTTGTTATTCACGCGGGAGATGTGGACTCGACTGTGGGCTTCTGGTTTTGACCTGGCTCAGTCCTGGCTAGCACTGCCATTTGAGGAGTGAGCGAGCAGTTGGACCATCTCTATCTGCCTCTGCCTTGTCTCTGTCTCTCTGCCCTTCAACAGATATAAGCTTTCAAAACAAACAAAAAAAATGCGTTAACAATATTCCCTCAATCTGGACTGTGGGCATGCCTGGCCCACGGAGACCTGGAAACACGGGGCATAAATACTGTCTGCAAACAGTTTCAACAGCTCTATTCAAAACTCTACAAGGGATAGGGCAGGACTGGGACAAGAGCACAGTCCATCGGCTTCAGGGTCCAAGCCCACAGAGGACCACAGGGGCCAGCTGGCTATTTTCCCTTCCCTCAACAGGAGGTCATGGAGAGCAGTGCAAACTGGAGAAAAGGAGAAACACAGAAGAGAAGATGCAGCTTTCCCTTCCAATTCCTTTCATTCAACCAGCAATTACTAGACCAAGCACAGGGCTAAGCTTCAGAGATGCCATCTTCCCCGTCTTCATGGAGCTTAGCATTCAAGGCTTGTGCCCAGAATGAATCATAGAAATAAACATAATGTGCATCTTTAAATTGCCCCAAAATGGAAGGTTCAAGTTATGGGGATATAAACTCAAAGGCATTTGGCCTGAGCAGCGAGGATATGCGGAGCTTCTTTTGGGCAAGAGCCCACCAGTTGACAGTTGAAGGGGGAACAGCAGGAGTATGTGAGGGGCGCTGGAAGGACCTGGAAGCATGTCAGATTAGAGGAAACTGGACCAGTGGCCATCCTGTGGCCAGCAAGATAAAGGAAGAATAACCTTAGCCAAGTTCAGTGTTGCGATTCTGTTTCCTCTTAATCAGGTCTCTTTCAGCTTTTTTTTTTTAATTAATCTTTTTTTTTTTTTTAGAAGCAGAAGCTAAGACATGTTTTTGTGTAGTAGACTGCTTGAGGGGAAGGTGGCAGTGAGGGACCGGGGCAGTCAGCCCACATCTAGAAACCTCCAGCTCAGGTGGACCGTCAATCATCCTCATTTGGACAACTGCAAGGCATGCAGGGGGCCCGTGGCTCTCAAACTTGGATCCAGCCAGCCTGGCCCGCAACAAAGAAAAGGCTGGCGGGAGGCCAAGTGCCCAGACACAGCGAACTGATCCCCTACTTCAGGAAGAGCATGGCGCAGCAGCTATATTTGAAAACCGAGATAAACAAGAGCTCAGCTCCCCTAGACAGGACACAACAGCTGTGGAAGATTAATCACACGCCGCTGCGAGTCACCAGGTCGCCAGAGGCCCAGAGGTTTCCCTTTTGGTGCCCCCACCAGAAGGCCGGATGTGCACCCATCACGTACCCACAGCGCCCCGCCCCGCGCGCCTCTGCGCTTCGGGGTTGCTTGACCACCCAAGAGCTCAACACCTGGCACCCAGCTGCGGCCAGCATTTCTGATAAATTGCACCCAATTTCAGTTCTTCTGCCCCAGAGACATAAGCACTGGGGGTTGGGGGGGTGGCTCGTCTTTTAATCATCATGAAAGAAAGAAAAAGGGAAGGGGGGGAGGAGGCGGACAGCAAGCGGGTAAATTTATGGTACTGCATTAAAAGCGTTTGTTGTAGTGAAATCCCCTCCCTTCTTCACGGTTTAAAAATAAAATGCAACTAATAAAGACCAAAACTGTGTTGTTGCTGTTTTAAACCTCGGAGCGAATCGCTTTCATCATTTCTCCCAGTGTCTCTGGTCCTCGGGGCAGGTCAGCCAGGCTGCAGGAGCAACGCTACCCTCTGCGGGGGTGTGGGGCCGTGGCGGTGCTTGTGTGTCCGTGTGTTGGGCGGATGGGAGTAGGATTACTTCTAGACTTCGCTTCTGCGCGGGACTACCCAGACCCACCGGGATCTGGAGAAGCCCCCCCTCTCCCGTGCTTAGGGGCCGTGGTAGGCGGGTGCACCTGGGCTGCGGTTCCCTACCCGCGGCGGCGGAGTCCCGAGGCTGGAGGCGCGCGTGCGTGCGTGTGTGCATGCGGGCGGATGCGCGCCGAGTAGCCAGCGCTCCCCTCTTAGCCCCCCAACCCAGCAGGCACTCACAGTCCCAGGAGCGCCACACGCTCTGGCACAGGCGACACACACACACACACATGCACGCACACGCACACACAGGCGTCCGGGGCGCCACAAAACAGGCGGCCTCTCCCGCTAGCGAGCGAGTGCTCGCTGCTAAGCCCGCAGCTCACGATCCGAATGGGCACGCGTTCCCGGTGGCCGCTTCCTGCCCACCGCTGCAGACACTCGCTCCGCCAGACAACCCCCCAGGGCCCCCCCCCACACACAACCCAACACTGCATACACACCGTGCACTTTCAGGGTGCCCCCCCTCCCCTTCTTCTGGCACTAAACCCACAGGAGACACTTTACATGGGCCATCTTGAGAAATAACTTCACTTACAGCATTATCCACAAACAGGGACCCTCCTGGGGATATCCCACCCCCGACCAAACCCCTACGTCCCTCTCCTCCGCCACCAGCCGGGGGGAAGGGCAGAAGGCTCACCCCCATTACTCACCGTTTCCTCTCCGCCTCCCGAGCGGAGTGGGCAAGTGAGGGGGATGGGGGGTGCTGGGTGAGGAAGGTGCGCGGTGCCCCCGGCGCCGGGCTCTCAGCGGCCGCAGAGGCTCATCGCCCCCGCGGGCTGCCGGCCGAGCGCAGCCGCGTCCGGGGCATGTCAGTCCGCTGCTGCCGCCGCCACCAGCCCGCCCGCCGGGCTAGAGCTCTCGCAACCGTCAGGGAGCTGCGGGGCAGTGCATCTGGAGCGCGAGGTCTGCACGGCCCCGGGGCTGGGGCCAGGGCGAGGAGGCCTGAGGTAGGGGCCCTGCGCGCCGAACCGAGGACCCGGGAAAACCCGACCCCGCGCCCGGGCTCCCGTACGACGCCGGGAGAGGCCCGGAGTCCCGGCCGCGGGCGGCAAGGGGATTCCTGGCGCCGGGAGGGGCGGGAAGGCGAGCAGCTCGGCGCGCCCTGGCGGCTCCGAGGGACCCCGGCTGGGGCTCGCGGCCGCGTCGCCCGGGCTTTCCCGGGGTGGGAGCGCGCGGGCTCTCCGCCTCACACGCCGTCACCGCGGGAGACGTCTCGGCCGCGCCGCGCGCTGAGGGGACGCGCGGAGGGGCTGGTTTCTGGGGGAGCCGAGAGCTTTGCCCATTAAGCTGCCGCAAGAAGCCAAATCAAAAAGCCAATCTCCAAGCCTCCAAAGCCAACGTCACCCTATCAGCTGGGAAGGGAGAGCCGCACCTCTCCACGAGCCGCGCGTCTGCAGCGCCCCGCGCCGCGGGGCCGCTTTCACACCGCTTCCCGCCGGGCCACGGGGACGCCGCCGGAGCCTGGCACCGCGCTACGCCTCGCGCCCCGCACCACAGAATTCGGACCCCGCCGCCGCCGCCCACCCCAGCGTCGGCGCCGGGCGCCTCCCTGCCGGCGGCCGTGCGGAGACGGCGGCGCGTCCTGACCTGGATTCCCTGGACTTGGGAGCTCCAGGCAGCGGGCGGGCGGGCGGGCGCGCGGCACCCGGCTTTCCCCCCTTGTCCTCAGGAGACGCCGCCTGCGATTCCGAAATTGAGTCTCCAAACACATCTGTGGTTTTTAAATATAGCAGGAAACGCTTACCCTGGCGGGGTCCACCCAGGCCTAGGGGAGGAGTTGAAGGGGTGGAGGGAAAATAAAACTCCTTTTCTCCATCATCCCCCCCCCCCACTTCCCCCTTACCCCCGCCCCCACCTTGTCTCTTCTTGGTGCAGAATTCAGCCTGTCATTTTCTCAACCCAAATCAAACAACAGCTTGTGAGAGATGCTTGGGTGAGCGTGCTGGTATGTTGGCTTTGGGGGTTTTGAAGGCTAAATATAAGAGGGGCTGCCTCCCAAATTGCCGCTTACTTTGAGTTTGGAGACTGGAGGAGAGACGGTCCTTTGATGCAGGAGGAGAATTAGGGTTTGGGGCTTGGCTGGAGCCAAGTGTACACACATGGTCATACATCAGATGCCTGGAATTGCTGCTATATTTGTCAGGTGTGGTCCTGGAGGCAGGAGGGGTGGACAGGCCGCTCCCAAAGTGGGGTTTCGTGTCCCCAGTTGATCGGAGGCACGTTAGGCCCCGTTAGGCATCTGCACAGAGCCCAGTGGCTGGCCTTGTGTGACCACACCAGACCAGTGCACTACGGACAGAAATGTAAGGGCCCTGGTTTGTCTCCTGGGTCCTCTGATGGGTGAAGCTGGAGAGTGAGGATAACGCGAACCAGAAGCATCAGTGATGCCCGTTAAATTGGCCCTTATCATCCTCCTAAAACCCTGCGACAGCTCCTGGCTCCGGGCTGTGTGGGCTGTTCCCCAGGTGCTGGGATGCACTTGTTCCTTTCACAGTTCCGAGGTTTTGAGTCCTGGATGTGTTCGGTTGGAAGCCTTTGGACTGCACAGTTTTACAGGCCTTGAATTCAGGGAAGAGTTGGGACTGAGAACTGGCTTTGCAGAGCTTTCATCACCTCTGAAGTTGGGGTGAGTCTTGGAGCCTGTGGAGTGCCCTGCTGCTGAGTGGGCAAGACCAGGAAATGGCTGGTGGGCATACACATTGATGTAGCATTTCTATGGAGGGCGAGTTTGGAAGGCATTCAAAATGCCTTGGAAAATGTGAGTCCCTGAGATGCATTCGTTTTCCTGGTAGAAATGCTGTGGCAATTATGGAGTTACAGAGATATGTATGGTAGTGTTAGTAACGGGGGAAAATGGGAACGATCTTAATTTTTCAACAGAAAGAATCGGCGGAGTAAACTGAATTAATAGTGCCTTAAGGGTGGGCTTACCACTACAAAAATGCTAGTGCAACATTTTATGTATTGACATGGAAAGGTTTTCATGAGGTGGTAGTGAGGGGAAACAATGCCAGTTTGAACACGTGTGTTGCACTCACAGGTGCATTGCTAACAGTGTGCATGTGTGTACAAGCTCTGGTGGCATACAAATGCTAAAATGATGGTGGTTCTCCCTGGGTGCTGCAATTTCTGGTGACAGTCCTTTTTTCCCTTTACTTCAGCTTTACTGCAGTATACTTTACACAAAATAAAACTCATCCTGTTTAAAGAACATTTGTTGATGAGCTTTAATAAAAGTTCATATAAGTTGAACACCAACCACAATCAAGACACAACATTTTCACCCTCTTCCCACTCCTAGAATTCTCTCAGGCCTCCCTCATGGGGCTCCTTCTCTCCCCTACAAGCAATCGTTTATTTGCTGTTAGTATAGATTGGTCCTGCTTGTTCTAGAATTTCTTTGTTCTACTGCTTTAGATCTATTGATATTTCTCCAATGAACATTATCTATTCTCCACAACTGCAACAGTGACAACAATAAGTACTTAATTGATCCTGGCACATTTTTAGTAAAACTCTCCAGAAATATCAGACAGCTGCCGAATCTTCCTTTTGATGCCTGACCAAGGCATTGCCGGGTGGGAAGGTTTGGAGAAGAAAGGGACTTACCAAAGCCTGTTCAATCCAGCTATAGGCAGAGCTGACGCCTATGGGTTTTGTGAGCTCCGGGTAGGCAGGCTTAACAAAGCCCAACTCCACACTCCGGGCATCTGTGTCCACTCCAGCAGGACAGAAGGAAGAACTAAGACCAGGGTCATGATGTTGCATGCATCCACCTGAGGAGCCAGCATCCCACAGGAGTGCCAGTTTGAGTCCTAGTAGCTCCACTTCCAATCCAGCTCCCTGCTGATGACTTAGAAAAGGCAGCAGGGGGTGGACCAAGTGCTTTGGTCCTTCTTAAGAGACTCAGAAGCAGCTTGCTGACTTCAGGCCAACCCAGCTCCAACTGCTGCAGCAATTCCGGGAGTGAAACAGAGGGTGGAAAATCTCTTTGTCTCTCTCCTCTCCTCTCTGTGATCTGCCTTTCAAATAAAAATAAATTCAATGCTCCAAAAAAAAAAAAAAAAAGAAGGAAGAATGGTAACATCCATCCACCTCATGGCATTGTTGTGAGGGAGATCAGTTTCCAGTAGAGTAACGCTCAAGTGCATACAGCTTCTCTCCCTCTTACTTCATCTCCTGCTAGCCCTGCTTCCCCCTGCTCTGCATTTCACAACCAACCTTTCTATGGTTATAAAATCTCAGACCTTCTTGGCCTCTGAGCAGTCTTACTTTTTCCTTCTGATACACAGATGCAGAGTTGAGAAATATTCATTTTTTCCCACTATTTCGGATTTACCACATTTCAGAAACGTGTAAAGAACTTTCGACGAATAGTAACTATACGTATTGTGGGACAGATTTGCACAGAGAATGAGAAGGGAGGCCGTTATTCTAGATAATACTAGGTAATAAAATATTTAAGTTAAATTTAAAGTCTGCGTAGAACAACATCTTCTCATTTCAGTATGACAAATTGCTTTTTTTTTCCCCAAGGGATCTGTTTATTTCTTATGTATATCAAATTTATTAGTGTAATATTATTTATAATGGGCTTTGTATTTCTATAGTGTCTACATTTTTAATTTTTTTCTTTAAATTTTTACAGGGGATAATCTTCCTTCTGAACCTTTAATGTTTATTTATTTAGATAAAGAGAACAGATTTCATATATACAGTTCATGCTATTTCAATAATTATGTCCCATTTCTCTATTTAGTATTTAAAATATTTTTTAACTTTGTTAGTGTTATCTGAGGTATGGTTATTGTCCATTTCCCTGCTTATTTTAGTATATATCTTATTTCTGTCATTCTTTTTATGGATCTGACTTATGATTCTTTCCCTAGTTTCTTGAGTCATTGAGTTTTAATCTTTCTACTTTTTAAAAAGGATTTACTTGTTTTATTTGGAAAGCAAGAGTGATATGGAAAGAGAAAACTTCTTCCATTCATTGGTTCATCCCCAAAATGTTTGCAATTGTCAGGGTTGACTAGGCTGAAGGAATTCATGCAGGTCTCCTCTATGATTGTCAGACATCCTAGTACTTGGGCCAGCATCCTCTGCCTCCTAGGCACAGTAGCAGGAAACTAGATGTGCAGAGCAGCCAGGACTCAAAGCAGGTGCATCTGTGTGAGATGTGTGTGTCCCACGTGGCTGCTTAGCCCCTGTACCAGCCCTGCTCCTTCTTGCCAAGTACATGCTTGTAGAGTTTTAGATTTCATTCCAAGCACAGCCCTTTAATACATTTCTGTAGGCTGTAGTTTCTTTATCTTTTAGCTAAAAAATACATCATAGTTTCCACCGTGTTTCTTCTTGTTTTAACACATGACTCATTTGGGAGGGTACTTCTAATTTTTTTCCATTAACTCATGAGTCATTAGGAATATACGTCTACGTTTCTATCCCTTGGAGATTTTTTATTTTCTTGTTATTGATGTCCATTTTAATTCCACCGTAGTCAGAAAGTATTCCCTTGTATGAGTTCCCTCTTTCCAATGTGCTGAGTCTTGCCTTACAGCTCATCATACTGTCATGTGTTCCATATGCCTTTGAGAAGGAAAATGTATATTCTGTAACTATTAGATAATGTGTTCTGTGCATCAGTCAGATTAAGTTTGTTATCATCCAAATATAATCACATTTTTTAAAAGATTTATTTATTTTTATTGGAAAGGCATATATACAGAGAGAAGGAGAGACAGAGGAAGATCTTCCTTCCGATGGTTCACTCCCCAAGCGGCCAAAATGGCTGGAGCTGAGCCAATCTGAAGCCAGGAGTCAGGAGTTCTTCCTGGTCTTCCACATGGGTGCAGGGTCCCAAAGATTTGGGCTGTCCTCATCTGCTTTCCCAGGCCATGCCACAAGCAGGGAGCTGAATGGGAAGCAGAGCTGCTGGGATTAGAACCAGGACTCATATGGGATCCTGGGCGTGCAAGGCAAGGACTTTAACCACTATGCTATCACAGCGGGCTCCTAAATACATTTTATGTACATTTTTTTCTTAGAGACATGGTAAAATATCTTGCTCTGATTGTGGATTTTATATTTTGAGACTGCTGTTGGGTTAACAGCCACTTGGAATTAATGCTATCAAGCAACGATTCTTCAAAAAGATTTTTCTGATATCAATGTAGCTACAACTTTTATCTTTTTAGCTAACGTTCACATTGTCTTTTTCCATCCCTTCACTTTCAACTTTTTTGTGTTCTTATACAATGTGTTGCAAATAAGTATTTGCATGGTTTTGTTTATTTGGGTTTGGGGTGCCCATTCTGATAATATTTTGCATGAATTCCATTTGTACTTCATACAGTTATTGACATATTT